AGAAGAAATCCTCGCTCCAGAGGGCGGGAATATGAGAGACCCTGGAAACGAGATTGAAACAAACGGCGGCAGGTTAAGGGTCTTACAGGCGGCAGGCGGTAAAGCACTGGTAAACAGCTTTTGCTGAAACCTCCTGAAACTGTGTTAAATTTCAGCTGCCATGGAGATCCCAACCAGAAAAGAAACCGCTTGATTATGCCGTCTTTCACAACCAGTAGGATTTACATTTTTGATGTTGAATCTGACCCAAAAGCGCCACGTATTCACAAGGTAAGGACAATATTAAAATGAACTCATTTCATACGAGACTAGGTGTGATTAACGCGTGTGTAGCTGTAACCTTTCGGCACAATTGATTGCCAGCCAAACCACCCATGCGCGTTAACAGTTTTGGTAAGCTTTGATAAGCCTTCTGCGCGTTCTACCCAACTAGCTCGTGGAGAAAGAACGCGTGTCAAAGCCCAGAAGAATTATACGAAGAAGGCAAGCTTTGATGAGGTTGGTGGTGATAACTTTCTCTACCACACGCCTTTTCAGGGATAATCTCATCTTAGTTTCCAGGAATTCTTAAATGCCTAGTTGTCTACAAGTCTCTCTCGATGCTGTCTTGGCCCATAACAGCTCCTGAATCATGAGTCGGGAAAGGTTTGGAAATATGATGGGATCTGCTGCTGCTGTGGGATGGAAAACCGCTTTTGCTTCTAATGAAGAGCAACGCTTGAAATATTTCCTTTACCCACAGATTGTTGAACCAGAAGAGGTATTTGAGAAGACAGGCCTCGCCTATCTTCATACAGCACACTGCCTTGGTAGCGGCGAGATCATGATTAGCGCCTTAGGTTCACCGGAGGGAAAAGCCGAAGGTACTGGTGCATGTAGTGACGAAAACAATACGGCTTGGGCCAACAGCTGGAGGTCACTCTCAAAAATCACAAGAAATCGTGCCTTTGTCGAAAACGTCCACTATTTCTTTTCACTTGTGGTTGTAAGAACCCCCGCAATAGTCGATGGATGTCTGAATAATCCATCTTGATTGGCAAAGTGGTTTATGGTTTAGTGGTACTTCCTTTTTGAGTTAAAGGTTGAAGTTATCACTTTGCTTGTCTTTATTTCCGACCGGTAATACTGCAAGCCTTGAAATGGCGTACAACCTCGAGACATTTCACCTTAGTCTTAAAAGAATTTATCACAGCACCATGTAAATAAAAATATTCAACGATGATCAATTAAGTTAGTCTAATACTAGTATTACTCGTGTTACTCGTATTACAGTAATCTAATACTCGTATCACAGTCGACTTTGAACCACTGTACTCACTGAAACTCACTTTTCAACATGAAAGTTCAATAATTAAAGGAACATTCATAAAGATGTCATTATTTCAGGGGGCTTCGTTATGCTGGACGGCAAGACTTTCAATGTCAAAGGACGCTGGGAAGGCGGAAGTGAAAACGCAGCTCCCATGGGATACGACTTTTGGTACCAGCCTCGACACAATGTGATGATCAGCTCGGAGTGGGGAGCACCGACTGCCTTTCAACAAGGATTTAAGGTTGAGGACGTTGTTGCAGGTTAGAAAATTGAGATGACTTACCGTTTCACTTCCAAGATCTCATTAGTAATTCTCCTTACTGTCTCCTATACAATTATTAAGATGTTTGTTTGGAGAATTTGGTATTGGATCGATCAATAATCCCCTCATTGATATTTTTCTGTATTCTCATAACTTTTCTGCCTGATATTGCATTGGTATGGTAGGGAGAAATTCTGTCTTGGTCACTTATGGGAGTTAAACGGTTAACAGCTTGACAGTGAACACGACTTGTTCTCAGTATCAGTAGATGGTAAGGGGCAAAAATTCGAGTCGACTTACACATGTACATAGAAACTGCTATCGAGATTAAGAGCATTGGGTTTCTTCACCGCCGGGTTTGTATCTGTTCAAAGTGGTAAGAAGAGCGATGGTTTGTATCTGTTCAAAGTGGTAAGAAGAGCGATGGTTTGTATCTGTCCAAAGAAGTAAGTAGAGGGATGCGTCGGCATGATTGCCAGGACGCTGGACCTCCAATCAGAATCCGAATGGATGTACTGTGTTCTCACAGTGCCTCATTCTATCCAATAGTATCAGTGGGTATCAGCCAACTTTGGGGAAACCTTTGGAAGTGTTGGAATAGGTTAGGAAAGCTGTCTCAATTTTACTAAAATACCTTTCAGGTAGAATAAAAAAAATCGTTGAGTGGAAACCTGGATAAGCTTTGCTAGGATGAGCTACGTGACTCGTGTGCAAATCGTGCATTCCGTTCGTACGTTTCTTTCCTCGTCCATACTTTCAATCAATAATTCGATATATCCCTTTACTTATTGCATACAGCTTTGTTTTTTTTTTTCGTGATTGTTTGCTACTTTTGGTCTTTAGAGAAATATGGGTCGCATTTGCATGTGTGGGACTGGAACGAACGAACCATAAAACAGACTTTAGACTTGGGAATGGGTACCATTCCCCTGGAGATCAGGTTCATGCACGATCCTGATCAGACGCAAGGATTTGTTGGGTGTGCATTGAAGAGCACCATTGTGAGATTCTTTCAGAATGAGGTGGGTGTTTGTTATATCTGTTGTGGCACGGTTATCTCTTGTGACTTAAATGAGGCGCGCCCTCTATGTAAATTGCAGTTAATTGGATGTAACTGATGAGTGTTTTCATCTGGGGAAACAATTGACAGTTGTATTAGGATAAAATTTTGTTATTTTTGAACTTTGACCCAAAATGATGAACATAATTTGTGTTTTTTAATAATTCATGCATGATTTTATTTTTGTAAAACAGTTTTATCGAATAAAAACACCTTTTAATACATTTATCTCGCGTTTCCGGACGAAGAGAGTATAGACCTCTGGTTTGAGGTGTGTACATAGCGCAAGTTCATTATAAAATGAAGTCTGATTTCTTATGGGGTTTCACTTTATGCAGGTTTCTTCAGCATCGAATAAAATTGCGAGCATCAAATCGTGTCAATCAAATTTGTCTATAACACGACATATTGAACTGGTATTACCGGATAATTTGAAACGCTAATCTAAACCTTTTAGGAAAAGTCTTGGAGTACAGAGACCGTCATCACTGTGCCAGCTAAGAAAGTGGAGGGCTGGGCTCTACCGGAAATGCCAGGTGGGTCAGACTCAACGATTCACGTCTCAAAATAATCCAACTAGTTGAGGCTTTGACCGGCGGCCACTTTCTACAAAACTTTCGAATAGTGCGTTACTTTGCCACTTCTGTAATACTTTTTCACCTGAAAATATTGGAAAAGGATTGAGAAATATATAAATGATTGAACAAATGAATCTGTTAAACACAAAAGAAAAAGGAACTGAAGTAAGAGCATGCGAAAGCCGGAAATAAAATGCAATTGGATCTTGTTCTATTGAGGAAACGTATCATACCGGGGCGGTTTCTTGTCCACAGGTCTGGTTACAGACATTCTTATCTCGCTGGACGACAAGTACTTGTTCTTCGGCAACTGGCTTCATGGAGACATCAGGCAGTATGATATCACAGACACAAAGAATCCTAAACTAGTCGGCCAGGTAAAAACATTACTGATTAAATTCTTGGAAAGCCAAGGCAGTGAGAAGGATCGTCATTCACGCACTCTCTCACACAGATCCCCCATTCCTAGTTATTCCCTTACACAGATGTAAAATGTACATTAGAAAGTACCTAAGTTGCCTCGAGAAGGTTCGGAAAAGTATTATTGCGCCTCTGTACCTCCGAAAGCAGAAGCGGGAAAAGTTAGTTCCCTTCATTCCGGGTATCAGTTCACTTGGCGTGAATAAAGGGGGCAAGTTTCTATAGCCTATAGAAACTGTGGTACTGCGTTCAAAACGATCCAGAGACCGGCACTATCTTTTCGCAACCTCCACTTATTTCATTCAAACGTGAAAGGCAACTTTTGGTCAGAAGTTCATTCCAAACTAATGACCAACCCGGAACTTTTAAATGCGCTCGCGCACGATGAAAAACTTGTCCTTTGATTCACAACGCTGAGAAAATATTGGGACCAAAACGATTCATTAACATTATTGATCACTTTACGTGCACCTCCGCCACTGCCATCTATTGCATAACTTGCACTTATTGCAAAAAGATATGCGACGTAGGAAAGAATGACAAGGACGCATCAAAACCAGTCGCTGGACACTTTAATCTACCTAATCATTCTAAGCGGCATATGGCGTTCTGCGGTCTTTCCTTACGCTTAGGTAGCTCGGAAAGCCGCAAAACTCTTGATCAAAACTTTATCTTTCAAATCGGCCCTCTTAGGTATCAACGAACGCTTTTCATACTACTAATTTATTCTTGTTTTTCTCATCACCATGTTCCCACCAATAGCGTAACTCCACTTCTGCATATAAACTCACACACAACCCACAATTCCCTCTGACGAAGGGCTAACGCTCGAAACGTCAGCTTTTTAACTCTTTACGGCGGCCAATTTACAATATCAACTTAGTTGATATAACCAAATTTCACTTGACGTGTTTACCTGACTAAATTTTGGCTGATTGTTGCTCACTCGCACGATGGAAATAGAGGGGGAGAAAGGAATACTTGTTGTCCAGTTCACAGACAAAGATCACTTCCGTGTTTTAAATTAAGTTGTATTTTAATTATGAAATCAGTCACAAAAAAACACTTGAAGTGCGTGTGAACTTTCACCGGATAATCGCCGTAATTGTCCTTAAACTCCATAGGACAGCGATTTATCCACTTGGTCGCCCTGTCCACTCCGACCCTTCGAACAATTGGGAACCGTTGTAACTGGGTCTGAGCATCATTCTTTACTTGCGACGCTGACTGGTTGACATTAGTCTGGAAGATTTATTTACTCCGTGCCTCCTCGGGGGTGCTTATTGCCGTTTCAGTTATTTGTTGGAGGCAGCATCGTCAGTGATGGACCAGTGAAGGTAATTGAGGATTCTGAACTGACTGCACAGCCTGAGCCCTGTTACGTGAAGGGGAAGCGAGTTCAAGGAGGACCGCAGATGATTCAGCTGAGTTTGGATGGCAAACGGCTTTACGTCACAGCATCTCTGTACAGTGTCTGGGACAATCAGTTCTATCCTGACCTCGTTAAGTAAGTGCAAAGCGTTAGGATACAATAAAACTTCACAAATCACCCCGCTTTTGGGTATGACCATGCTAAAAGTGACACACTTTTTCTGAGCGCTGCATGGCAGTTCAGTCTTGATACGCTCTCCATCGAATCGCCATGAGAAAAGATAAGCATCGAGAGCTAATCAACTGATCCTTGCGCATGTTCTACTGATTTATTTTTTGAAATGTTTAAGTATACTAAGCGTATGAAATCTATAAAAGATAACTGAAATATGCGTTTGGTCAGGAGAAATCAAACAAAAAAAAAAAAATTAGTAAAAAGAATCAGGAAAAATTGACTGGACCGTCTACCTTTTCGTACGATTCAAAACGATTGACCATTTTCTTGTCATCAATTAATTCTTTTACTCCCTTATAGTTACTTCACTTTATTTTTTTTGTCTTCCAGGAAAGGTTCTATATTATTGCAGATCGATGTCGATAATGTCAACGGTGGCCTTAAATTGAATCCAGATTTCTGTGTGGATTTTGGAGAAGAACCCGATGGTCCTGCCCTCGCTCATGAAGTTCGTTACCCGGGAGGAGACTGCTCCTCCGATATATGGCTGTAAAAGTCAACAACATATTGGATAGATATAAGATATATTTAAGTTCACTCAGCAACCAGGTGGACAATCAGACATGGTTTGATGCTTCTCTGGTTGAAAGATTTAATGAATGTAGCCGAAAATACTATTCATTGACCCAACGTTTCGACACTCGTATCTAGTGCCTTCATCAGGGGTTATCTGATCGTTGCAACAAGAGGTCCTTTCCGTATGCTCACTAATTAGCTGCCCTTTTTCCTAACGAGGTGTAAATAAGCGTAAGGTAGTAAGCTGCTATCATCACGATTTAAAGGAGCGTGGGCGGAGTTGATATGCCAAGCTTCCAAACAAAGGCGCTGGTGGTAGTGGTGATAGTTTAGAATTATCCCACCCAATTGTATGGTTAGTTAGGCATGTGTACTCCGACAGAGCTGAATTTTCTTTTTCGCAAAAAAAGACCGCTGTCTGATACTCTTTCAAACGTGTACCCAACTGACATTTTGTCAGTGTCCGATATACTCGTGATCACAGTCATTGCACGGAATAGAATAAATAGCATCGGTTCGTTTTTCTTTCGTAACTGGATAATTTTGAATAGCCACAACCGACGTTAAAGTTGCTCGAAAACCTTTTTAAACTTTGGGGCATATTTTTGCCAAACCTAAGATTTTTCCTTTATTTAGACTTTGTAGGTACGTTTAAGTATGGCTTTTGGCTCTTCTTTGTCTGGAACACCATGCCAGTGACAGTACTATATATACCATCTAAACAGAGGGGTCTAAAATAGAGTACATTTTTGTTCACTCTGTCTGGAACCGGGTTCTGCACTTGATCCCTAGTAATGACTACATAGCTTCATCATTCCCCTCTTGTAATTACGCTCCAATTCTGAAATAAAGCAGGGACAATCATTGACTTATGTGTTAAATGGAAAGAAGATTTTTAAGACGTTCACTGCACTTCTTGTTTATTGCACCTTACCCGACAGTAAGGACGCCTCCTTTCCGTACAGGAATTCCTGTTCAAGTTTCTTCACGCGTCTGATCATATACTAACATGGAAATTGTTGATAAAATCTGTAAAATCAAGTCATCAATATGACCCGAACATCCTCGATCTCATGATCTCAAGCTCCAACAACTAACTAAGGGGTCCCAGGCTCCACGGACAATAGTGCAGAATCTTTCTTACACAACGCTATATTCTATGCTGTTATTTGTCCGCTGGAAAATTGAATTTTGTCACTAAGATCGAGAAAGACGCGACGCATCTCGACGCGACAGAGCTGAATAACGTATACGCATGCGTTAGGTTTTGCCGCGGAAACACGGACTTTGAGTGCTTCGAGGTGTCGTTTTCCTTGCTGCTTTTCTTTTACGGAACAATCTCCAAAAACTCGGTACACCCCCTAAAAATTTAAAAAAATTAATTTTCTCCTTAAAACCTTTGGAAATAGGAAAGTGCCTTCGACGAAAACAGAGTGCCTCGGTTTTAAAAGTCAGCCCTTATTATTTTTCGCTAATTGCGCTAAATTTTAGACTGAGGATACTTGAGCCCGCGTTGTTGACCGCATACTTTCTGACGTAGCTTTTCGTTATTCAGCTCCCTCTCTCGACGCGCGAATGGCTTCGATTTTATTACGCCGAAGCAATTTTCACGCGAGTAGACTCTTTTTAACGGCAGCTGCAGCCCTAAGTGTAGCTCCAAAGATACTTATGGCTGAGTTCTGCAGTACCGGAAAATGCAACGATGAAGTTGAGAAAGCAAAATTTGCCTCTGACGCGGCAGAGAAATATCAACCACAAGACACAATTTTCGGCAAGATCCTGCGAAAGGAAATTCCTGCTGATATAATTTATGAAGACGATAAGGTCAGTATGATATTGTATTTCGATGAATGCTTCAATTGGTCTTCCTTGAGAAGCCTGTAACTGACACTTACTAGGTTTCAGTCAGCCATTTAGCCTCAAACTACCCCCTCCCTCTCCCCCCCAATCCTTGTTACACCCCTTCACTTAAAACCCATGTTTTAGCCTCAAGAGTATACCAAGGAAAAATGATAAAATTAGCGTATGTAGTTGTTATTTGTTTTAAAGTTGTTGTTTACTGTGCTTGGGAAGCTGTCCTTGTTATCATTTCTGCTATTCAGTCATATATAATTTGCCTCCCAAACCACAATATTGAAAAAAAAAAAACAACAACAACAATAGCAAAACAAAAAATCCTTAAGTGGAAGAGATATACGTTCAATGTTGAACCAAAATTATCCAATTATATGTTATAAGTGGTCAAATGCATATACTGCATACTTAAACTTTGTAATTTGTAAAACTTGGGAGGCTAACTATCACGGTTGATGGTTTTTTTTTAAGTTCTTCCTTTTCAAGTGAAGAGATCAGTTAATGTAGTGCCTTCAGATTGGCCTTGTCCCGTGGTATGAAATATTTGGACATGTCTATGATCAACTTCATTTGTTTACTAAAACTCCCTGTGGATAAGCAATTCCTAGATCTGTGATTAGTATTAAAATAGCTTTGCCCTTGATAGGCAGACAGAAAAACATTCTATTCAATTAACTCAGTTTATTACTCTAAGTTATCTTGTTATATCCCCACCGACACAACAACTCAGTTTCTTAGTTTAAAAACTTACCCCTTTAGACAGAAAGACTATTTTTGACGTGACTCCAAGATGAATTTGTGTAAACAGCAGAGTTAATGCTCATAGATGAATGATGGATTCAATACATAAGTGGTGCAAGTAAATCAGAATGCCTTCATTTTATAATAGTCAACTTCAACTTTCAACTTTACTTTACTTTATTTAGCACTCAGGTTTTAGTTACAATATTAACATAAAAAAAAAAAAACAGGAAAGGATACATATGTAAAAATTTAAAGGTAACAGTGTTCCATAGTTTGTGCGTGGAGGCTAAGAAAACCGCAAGGTTACCGAGTTAGCCTCCATCTCTTTTGGATTCACATAGAAGAAATTGGGAGTAGAGGGATGGATTACTAAATTAAAAGCTAGAAGAATTGTGGAAGACTTATGTTTGAGATAACTTGAATGATAGATAGTTTTAGCACTTTTGATTTGTGGAGACTTAGGTTTGATATTGCTGATATAGAATAAAGTTTTTAACACTTTTGGAGAAAGCAAATAGATTTAGGTCTTTAAACTTGTATGGCAGTTCATGCCAAAGATCAATGGCCATAAATAATATCATTTGTTTGCCAGTATTTGTTTTTACTTGAGATGGGCATTTAATCAGGTGTGGCCAACTGATTGAGCACACTGTTCATGGATAAAATGTACAAGAACCACAAACAGTTGAGTGATTTGCAAGCAGAATGCTTGTAGCTCATGAAAATTACATACATTGTATTCTTGAAGCTTGGGTAATGCTGCAATACATACATATATTAGTGATACTGTGCATACACCAGTAGAACTAATGGCAGGAGGTTACTTTTTGAGAGAGAAGTACTGGTTGCAATGATTCATGCTCTCTATAATCTTTGGATGGATATGTCAACAGGCTATTGCTTTTCGTGATGTCAATCCTGTGGCACCCACGCAAGTTTTGGTGATTCCTCGTAAAGCCATTACACAGTTAGCAGCAAGCACCGAAGAAGACATACCTGTAAGTACTAGGAGTCTTCATCATTCATTCTGCAGAGTAGGCTTGGGATATTTGGGGATGGAGTGGTTTGAATGGTTTTGTAGATCAGGTTAACAGTTTGATTCATGTTGCCGAACACTGTTTAGTGAGAGATAACAGATGACATGAAAATGTGGTGAGGACAAAACATGGCGCAGCTGAGTGTGTCACTGGTGTTCTCATCACTCCTTGACATCTTCTGTGACCTATGTGAACATGTGCATGGTAACATAGAATCTATTTGTTTTATATGTTAAAAAACAAATTGTTGTTAATGGTGACATCACTCATGCATCTGTGCTGTGTCCTCTTGAAGATTGTAAGTAAAAACCAATCAAAATGCATGTAGGATTCAGCTTATCATTAATGACCAAGCATGAGGTCAAGATGGCTGGATATTGAGACCTTTTATGGGTTTTAATGGACTGAGACGATGTTGAGGTCCATAAAAATGCAAAAAAAGGAATAAGACTAATATCCAGCCACCTTGACCAAATAAGCTTGGTCAGTAAAGGATTTATTTTATAGCAAAAATATTTCACTTTAAACACAAAGGCATGCTATGGGGGAATCCTTGTTTACAATATTTGCCTCATTAGCATAAGCAATTCAGTTTCTGATGGAGCTAAAAATAAATCAGTTCTGAATATCGAAAGGTCAAAGTACGATTAACTCGGCCAATAAATACGAGCCTGATGCATTCTT